ATAAAATACAAAAAGTAATCCTTTTATATATTAATATTTACTTTTTTCTTCTAAATATAACTTTAAAAATCCAGCTAATAAATACTGAAGTAATTATAATTTTTAAAAATATTATTATTATTTTTATTTTTAATAAGTTTTTAATTTATTTTTTTATCTATTTATTAATTTTCTATTTACTAATTTATTATTAGTTTATTTTTAGATAAATATTAAAATAAATTAAGACAAATCAATTCATTCAAGATCTAAAGATAAATATTTTTAAAGCAATTTAATATATTATTTAAATATAAAAAGAAATAACTCTAATAACTATTTGTAATTATTAATATTATATTAAAATTCTTATTAATAATATTAATCTCTCAGATTATATTTAGAAAACTAATAATTTTATACTTAAAAATATTATTAAAATACTTAATATTTTTTATCTTCTGAATTAGATAGAATTTAATAAATTTTTGATTATTCTTAATAAGAATATTATTTATAAAATTTCAAAGAAGAATTAATTTATTATAAAGCTTACAGATATATTTAGAAAGTTAAAAAATATCTTAAATGAAGAGAATGATAATTTTGAGCTAATGATTATTAGTATTAGTATAACTTTAAAAAATTTAGAAAATGTTAGAATTTTTTTACTTTAACAAGAGAATACAATAAAACAAATAAAATTAATAGATATTTTGAAATAGTTTATTAGAGACAGGAAAATTAATCAATTATAATAGTCTTATATTACTTTAGTTTTAAGACTTTGATTATTATAATAAATTTTTAATGACTAATAATAAATTTTAAATATTATTAAAAAAATAATATATAATAGTAAAAATAATATGATATATATAGTAATTAAGCTATAAAAAATATATTTTTCTCTAAGTGCACAATCTCTCTAAATGCATATTTATAACATATCCAGAAGAGATATATTTAGAGAGATTTATCCATATTTATTAATAAAAATATAAATTTTAATATAAAGTAAAATTCAATTTTTATTATATTTTATTAATTAGATTTAATTCTTTGGTATATAATATTTAATAATTTTATATTATATAATTTATAATAAATACAGAAATATTTTATAAAATTAATATTATATTTTAGATAAAAAATAAAAAAATATTATTTTTTTACTTATTATTATTTATTATATTTTAATATTATTTAATATTAATAAAATAAGTATATATTTTATTATATTTTTATAGGTATTAATATTTCATAATGAAATTTTATAATAATTATAATTAAAAACAAATAAGTTTCAATTTAATTTTGTAATTTAAATATTATTATTAATATTAAAATAAAAGTTAATTATATAAAACAAATTAGAATTTTCTTAAAGTATTAATTTATTATAAATTATTAAATTATAATTTTTAATAAAGCTTTGAATTCCGAAAATATATATAATAAAAATAATAAAAATAAAAAATAAATTAAACTAAACATTATTAACAAGAAATAAAGAATAATATATAATAAATAATATTATTTTAAATAAAAAATAAGAGCACAGGCATTCTTTATAAGTACACATGTTATATGAACATTACCTTTTAAGAAATTCATTTACAAGTACCAATTGATTTTATATAGAATTTAACTCTATATAAGAACATTTTATTTATAAGAATAGTCCCAACTTCTATAATACGACTCTTATGTAAGAACATGTGGTTTAAATAAGCTTTCTCTAATAAATGCATGGGGGATTATTAAGAATTTCTTCTGCTGTTTGCATATTTAGGCTTGATTTTGTTCTATAATGAATATCTCGCAAATGTCTATTACTTGTTGAACCAAGCCAGGCGTAATTGGTCATACATCCATAAATCGCATTTTACGCGTTTAATGATAGGTTCACCATCATTTCCTGGAACTAAATAACAACTAAAAATTTCCAGGCGAAACTAGTTTGCTTTGTACTAAATTCAATATTAGGTTCATTATTTGAATTGGAAGCATGAAGTCGTTTTAAAGGTCGTGTAATTTTAAGCATTTAGAAAAAAAATGAATTTATCATTAAATTTAAACTATTGAAAAATTTAACGAATCATAAAATTAAAACTGTCTTGTAATTATTAAGACCATTCATTCTTAATTAATTGTTAGTATTAATACTGTATAATTGCAACTAAACAATTAAAATTAATTGCTAATCAATTAATTGTATAATCGAATAGTTATCAATTAAAAACATAATTGTTCAACTAACTAAACAATTATCAACTATCGATTGATAACACCCAATGTATAATGCTCCTAGTATGTATCGCCATTATCGTTATATACGAACACAGAGATCATCAGAATTTATCATATGATTCTTTGTAGTATACTTAAATGTTGGAGAGAGCTTACAAGGAATATGACAAACACGAAGAGATGTTGCAGAAATCTTGATCTAAACTATACGATTTATGGAGGGCGGTCGAAGGAAAATTTTGTAGGGCAGATGGAAATGTTGGAAACAGAAGCGAAGAATTTAGATGCCAAGACTATTGTTTGGAGTGAGCAGATAAAAAATTTGCTAGCCGCAGGTAACAATCTTTCAAATAATTATCTCCCATAATTAATATGAATGAATTGAATGGAAAAAGATGAACAGATAGATGGATAAGTAAATTGGTACACTCTATTCTGTGTTCCCAATGTCGGAGTCACGAATTCGTCACAGTAAATAATACTATATTTGAGGGAACTTTTGATTCGTGACGTTGACTAACTTGATCTGAATTAAATGTATTTTGTAAATAGATACTAGGCCTAAACGTAAACTTGAAGAAGATACAGAAACTTTCCTCAAGAGAGTGAAGACCTCGCCCGTTTCAAGCGAAATCGCGAGATCAAAGAATTGGATGACGAAACAAACCAAAGAGCCTATCATTTAATTGAATTACTGCACAGCAAAAACCTCTGGAAATCCTGTTATTCTTCAACATCCTATTTTTGCAGACTTTTTTGAGGACTGTGAAATCATAATACCGAACAATGTCGACTATAACTTTGTCCTGGCAGTAACTGAGTCGATTGCAGATATGTATAAAGATGAAGATACAAGAGGGGAAAATTTAAACGATAATTCCAAGAATATTACAATATCAGCCTTAATCAATGCACAAACAAAACGATAACATCAGATAACATTCCTTTTCTCAGAGTGGCAAGTTTATGACGAGCACTATAGCAGTGAAACCAGAATTGAGGGTAGGAAGTTGCTGTCCTTACATTCAAGCCGTTATTTACTACGCGAAACATATTATAAAACTTTCGGTTACGACCTTAACTAAAACGCCTTTACAATGTTTTTTACTGAATCTTGCAGGTTTGATAAGTGTGTGCTTTATTCATGCGTTTAACCTTTTCTAAGTTTTTTCTCTTTTCAGGACCGTACAATGACAATGCAGGCGCCATATTTCCTGGTAATAAAATTTTATGTGATCCTCTGACACCACTTCTTTATCTTCATTATTATCGAGAAAACATGGACAACTTGGCCCGGATATTTTGCGCTTTTAAAAAAGCGCTAGATGCGTTGGACCCCTACTACTTAAATCCTTCCATTCTCTCCGCAACTGAACTTTCCATACAGTGGCTGCCAAATGTTTTGCATCATTCAAATGACAAATTTAAAAGTTTAATAACTTTGCACGCATACATTGAAAATTCATAAATTTAAACATATATAATTGGCGAAACTTAAAAAACATACGGGATAATCTTATAGATAATTATTATCGTAATAACAAAAAGAAAAGAGATTTATGCAATTTTACGTAATGCGTTTCTTTTGATTGATTTAATACATAAACTAACAAATAAAATCTAATAAAATTTAAAAAAAACATTCTTTATCACCTAATATACCCTCCTTTAGCATTAATTACATCATCCATTCACTCGGGCATACTTTCAATTAGCTGAGTTATAAATTCATTATCCATTGAAATCCAAATTTATTAAAATAGCATCCCATAGTTGATCTTGATTATTGATTGGGATGTCCAATTATTTCAGACGCCTATCTATTCGTTCCAGAGATGTTCAATAGGATTTAAATTGGGGGATTAAGGCGGCCATTCCATTACATTAATTCCATTATCATCAAACCATTCCATCGTTTTATTAGCCACATGTTTCAGATCATTATCTTGCATAAAAATAATATTATTTTTATCCAATTCATTATACTCGATG